AAACATAGGCCGGGCGCGGTGGCTGACGCCTGTAATCCCAGCACTTTGGGAGGCCGAGGCGGGCGGATCACAAGGTCAGGAGATCGAGACCATGGTGAAACCCCGTCTCTACTAAAAAATAGAAAAAAATTAGCCGGGCGCAGTGGCGGGCGCCTGTAGTCCCAGCTACTCGGGAGGCTGAGGTAGGAGAATGGCGTGAACCCGGGAGGCGGAGCTTGCAGTGAGCCGAGATTGCGCCACTGCACTCCAGCCTGGGCGACAGAGCGAGACTCCGTCTCAAAAAAAAAAAAAAAAAAAAAAAACATTAAAAAAAACCTCAACCCCTCATCTCGGGTAGACCACACCAGGAAAAGAGTAGCATAGTGACATTGCCAGGTTGAGGGTTCAATCTAGTCCCAGTTCTCCACTTCCTGGCTGTGTGACCTTATACAAGTAGCCTCACCTCTCTGGGCCTCAATGCCCTTATGGGATTAATAAGGCCCAGTTTGCAAGGTTCTTAGGAAGATCCTTTTGAGACCACGGAGTTAAAACATCCTTAGCACAGGGCAAGTAGATGGGGCATTGGAGGGCTTGTGAGGAGTCCCTAAGGTACAGCCTCTGCCCTCTCCCGCAGCCCCTACCCTCTCTGGCACCCCTGGCCCACAGTGAAGAAGCACTCAGGAGAGAATTTTGTATAGGATTTTTACTGGTGGCACCTGGGGCCACATGGAGGAAGTCCTCAGCACAGGTGCTGGGGTGCGGGAAATTTCAGAGCCCCCTCCTGGGATGTCACCCTTCAGGTGTTCATGAGTTAATCTTGAGTTTCTCCTTCACTTTCCGAAATGTCTCTGAAAACCAATCCCTGTGGGGAGGGATAAGGAAGGGGGTCACTGTGTGCAGCTCCCTCCCAGGCTGTCCAAATTCTACCTGCTACCTGACTCCCACCTCTTCCCCTTCCTGAATCTCCATCCTCACTGTATATGGGATTAGGAGGTCCGCTGGGCTGGGTGGGCCAACTTCTGTGCTTCAGTTTCGCAGATGGACCGGAGCACGATGAAGTCTAAACACTTTACCCTTGACTGGGCATGGTGGCTCACGCCTGTAATCCCAGCACTTTGGAAGGCTGAGACAGGCAGATCACTTGAGGTCAGGAGCTCAGGACCAGCCTGGCCAACATGGCAAATCCCTGTCTCTACTAAATTACAAAAATAAGCCACGCATGGTGGTGCACGCCAGCTACTCAGGAGGCTGAGGCAGAATTGCTTGAACCTGGGAGGTGGAGATCGCAATGAGTCGAGATCACGCCACCGCATTCCAGCCTAGGCAACAGAGCGTGACGACTCCATCTCAGAAAAAAAAAAAAAAAAAAAAAACCCTGGCCTGGCTTTCAAGACCTGCCATCTCTTGCTACCAACTCTTTCTTCCAATCTGCCCTTGCCTCAGCTGTTCTCATTCAAAGGTACTTTCCAGTCTCCCTGCCTATGCCCAGGCTGTTCACATGCCTGGAATGCCACCCGCTCTTGATTATGATTATCGATCAACCTTCTTGGCTTAGGACCTTTGCCTCTCCCTCCAATCTTCCTTCCTTCCTTCCTTCCTTCCTTCCTTCCTTCCTTCCTTCCTTCCTTCCTTCCTTCCTTCCTTCCTCCCTCCCTCCCTCCCTCCCTTCCCCCCCCCCTCCTTCCCTTCCCTTCCCTTCCCTCCTTCCTTTTTTTTTTTTTGACAGAGTTTCGCCTTTGTTGCCCAGGCTGGATTGCAATGGCGCGATCTCAGTTCACCGCAACCTCCGGCTCCCAGGTTCAAGCGATTCTCCTGCCCCATCATCCCGAGTAGCTGGGATTACAGGCATGTGCCACCATGCCCGGCTAATTTTTTGTATTTTTTTTAGAAGAGACAGGTTTTCTCCTTGTTGGTCAGGCTGGTCTCAAACTCCCGACCTCAGGCGACCCACCCACCTCGGCCTCCCAAAGTGCTGGGATTACAGGCATGAGCCAACAGGCATGAGCCATTGTGCCTGGCCTAATTTTGTATTTTTAGTGGAGATGACGGTTTCTCCGTGTTGGTCAGGCTGGTCTTGAACTCCCGACCTCAGGTGATCCGCCTGCCTTGGCCTCCCAAGGTGCTGGAATTACAAGCATGAGGCACTACACCTGGCTTCCAATCTTTCTAAGTTTAGTCCTGGCTAGATTTTCCCTCCCTCCCTCCCTTCCTGCCTCCCTCCCTTTCCCTCCCTCCTTCCTTCCTTCCTTCCTTCCTTCCCTCCTTCCTTTTCTTTCTTGTTGAGACAGGGTCTCATTCTGTTGCCCAGGCTGGAGTGAAGTGGCACAAACATAGCTCACTGCAGCCTTAACCTCCTGGGCTCAGGGGATCCTCTTGCCTCAGCCTCCCGAGTAGCTGGGACTACAGGTACATGCCATCATGCCTGGGTAATTTTTTGTATTTCTAGTAGAGACAGGGTTCTCAAACTCCTGACCTCAAGTGACCCACTCACCTCAGCCTTCCAAACCTTCCAAAGTGCTGGGATTACAGGTGTGAGCCACCGTGCTCGGCATGTTCTTCACTGTTTTATTGCCCACAATGAAACAGTTTCCAGCACTTAACAGATGCTCAATAAATATGTATTAAGGAATGATTCTCTAACTTGCCACAGGGAGCAAGGGTGGATTTAAAGATGTAGTGAGCATCTACAATGTGTCAGACACCCTGTAGACCCTCTCCTTTACTTCCCCTCAGAACCACCATTTTACAGGAAGGAAACTGAGGCTCACAGTAATGCCTCTCTCTTAAGATCACACAGGGAGTAAGGGGCTCTATGCCAGCCTGGGGACACAGTCTGGCCAAGTTTGGGTCCTCCATTACCCCACAAGACCATCTTTTTTTTGTTTGTTTTTGAGACGGAGTTTCGCTCTTGTTGCCCAGGCTGGAGTGCAGTGGCATGATCTCTGCTCATTGCAACCTCTGCCTCCCAGGTTCAAGTGATTCTCCTGCCTCAGCCTCCCAAGTAGCTAGGAATAGAGGCATGTACCTCCATGCCCGACTAATTTTGTATTTTTAATAGAGATGGGGTTTTTCCATGTTGGTCAGGCTGGTCTTGAACTCCCAACCTCAGGTGATCTGCCCGACTCGGCCTCCCAAAGTGCTGGTTTACAGGCGTGAGCTATTGTGCCCAGGCTTTTTGTTTTTTTAGAGACAGGATCGCCGGGTGTGGTGGCTCACACCTGTAATCCCAGCACTTTGGGAGGTCGAGGCAGGCGGATCACAAGGTCAGGAGTTCAAGACCAGCCTGGCCAAGATGTGAAACCCTGTCTCTAATAAAAATACAAAAAAAATTAGCCAGACGTGGTGGCAGGCGCCTGTAATCCCAGCTAGTCAGGAGTCTGAGGCAGAGAATTGCTTGAACTGGGGAGGTAGAGGTTGCAGTGAGCTGAGATGGTACCACTGCACTCCAGCCTGGGAGACAGAGCGAGACTCTGTCTAAAAATAAATAAATAAATAAATAAAATAAAAATAGAGACAGGATCTCGCCACGTTAGCCAGGCAGGTCTCAAACTCCTAGGCCCCAGCAATCCTCCCACAGTCCTGGGATTACAGGCGTGAGCCACTGTACTTGAGCAAGACCATCTTTTCTTTTTCTTTTTTTAGACGGAATGTTGCTTTGTTGCCCAGGCTGGAGTGCAGTGGCACCATCTTGGCTCATTGCAACCCTCACCTTCCTGGTGCAAGCAATTCTCCTGACTCAGCCTCCCGAGTAGTTGGGATTACAGGTTCATGCCACCATGTCAGGCGAATTTTTTTGTATTTTTAGTAGAGACAGGGTTTCACCATGTTGGCCAGGCTGGTCTCGAACTCCTGATCTCAGGCAATCTGCCCACCTAGGCCTCCCAAAGTGTTGGGATTACAGGCGTGAGCCACGGCGCCCAGCCCAAGACCATCTTTTAAAATGTGGCCTGGATGGGAGTCCAGGAAACTGCCCCTGAAGTCTGAGATCCTTGAGATCTAGCTGTGTGACCAGAAGGACGTTGTCAGCCTCTCTGGGACTTGTTTTTTTTTCAATTTGTCCATCTTGGACCATCCTCCAGGGCTCCACCCAAAAACACACTCCAGCCCTCCTGTGCCCTGGGAAGGGTTCTAACCGCATCTTGGCAGGAAGTTCACTCTGTGTGATGAGGTTGATGAATTCCCGAACATTGTTCTCCAGGGTCTTTCCAAACTCCTCCAGGACATCAAAGGGGTTGGAGACATTTGGAACCCCCTGGGCTGGGGTTGGGCCTGCCAGGAAGATGGGCAGCGGTGCAAAAATTTTTTTTTTCTTTTTGAGACAGACTTGCCGTGTCAAGTGGTATAATCTCGGCTCACTGTAACCTCCACTTCCTGAGTTCAAGCAGTTCTCCTGCCTCAGCCCCCCAAGTAGCTGGGATTACAAGCGCACACCACCACAACTGGCTAATTGTTTTGTATTTTTAGTAGAGATGGGGTTTCACCATGTGGGCCAGGCTGGTTTCGAACTCCTGACCTCAAGTGATCTGCCCGCCTCGGCCTCCCAAAGTGCTGATATTACAGGCATGAGCCACCCTGCCCGGCCAAAAATTTGTTATTGGAACCCCCTTGGGATGGGATCCCGGGATGGATAAGGAGATCCTTGGGGATCATGTGGTTAGAATGGGGAGGCTATTGGAGTGACCACGTGGGGCTCAAGCCGCTGAGAATTGCCTTACTCAGCACTGACCCCCTCCACAGCCCCTCGCCCTGATCACCCACTTTCAAGGCTGTGGAAGGAGGACAGCCAATCCCAGAGGCGTAGGCGTCAATACGTCATCAGATGCTAGGGCTCTCCTGGGCAGATTTGGCGCCTGCCGGACTGAGCCTGGGAGAACCTGGAGACCCACCCGACCACGATGGGGCAACCACGACCCAGAGGGGGCCCCAGAGCTCTCAGAGGTCCTCTAAGCCGGAACCCAGGCCTGTAGCCACCTTCACTCTTCCAAAAGTCCAACTCCGCAATTCTCCCATCCCACTTTTACCTTCCAAGACCATCGACAGAACCACCACCAGGAGCGACAGGAAGAGCCTCATGGCGGGGCCGGAGGGGCACTCTGAAGGCAGAGGGAGGGGTGCAGGGGATCAGTAGCACCCTCCTCCGTGCCTCCCTTTCTCCCTCCCTGGATCCCCTCATCTCCTTTTTTTGAGTTCTTGCAGAGTGGAGGCTGGTGTCCCTCCCAAGCACTCAGCACCAACCTGACTCCTTGCTGGAGGGCTCGGTTGGGAGGTCCTGTACCACCAGCAGGACCTTTATCAGGCTGGGGAGGGGGCGGGGCAGGTTGATGTTGATCTCTCTCCTCCTGAGCCTGCCTCCTTCTGCCCACCCAGGTTTTTCTCCTCTGTCCCTGGCCCGTGGGCGTTGGGGTCAGGTGGGGTCCCGGGCACTTCCCTTAGCCCCAAAGCCCTTTACCATTCAGCACCCTCACCTCCCAATCTCCCTGACTCTAGGGGGTCCTCAGACTACCATAGCCCCTTTCCTCAACTCACAGGACAGCCTCGGCCTGTCCCTGTGGACATCTGTCCTCAGGGGCCTTCCAGTAATAATCCTGGGATCTCATCTGCCCCTTATTCACACTGTATCCCTAGACCACCTCTTTCCCCTACTTCTCTCTTGGCAAGCCTCCTCATCCCCAACAGCTTTTCCTTTATGTTGCTGGGGTCTCTCAGAGGCCCCGCACTCCTACCCTGCGTGCCACCTCCAATTTCTTTCAGACCAGCCCTACCCCTTTCAGACCAGCCTCTGAAGCACCCCCAGACCACCCTGATATTCTCTGGGCCTTAACTTGATGGTTCTCAATCTCCCCTTTAAGTAGGGGGTCACCTTAGCTGGAGGACACTGTAAAAACCTCACCTGCATTAGCCAGGTGTGGTGGCTCATGCTTGTAATCCCAGCGCTCTGGGAAGCTGAGGGAGGATTTCACGGAGCCCAGGAGTTCGAGACCAGCCTGGGCAATATAGGGAGACCTCATCTCTACAAAAAAATTCAAAAATTAGCTGGGTGTGGTGGCGCATGCCTGTAGTCCCAGCTACTCAAGAGGCTGAGGTGAGGGAAGATTGCTTGAGCCCAGGAGTTGGAGGCTGCAGTGAGCTGTGATTGCGCCACTGCACTCCAGCCTGGTGGGCCAGAGAGACCCATCTCAAAAAAATTAAAACCTCAGCTGAAAAGTTCTGAGGTACGCCCTTCCTCCTTTCCACTGACTCACCCTTTGTCTGACTACCTCCCCCCAACACTGCATCTGCTCTTATTCACCCTCCAAGGCCCCTCCCTGGCACCAAGCCTGCTTCCCCATCACTACATCCGCCCCCAAGGCTGAGTCCATTCCTTCCCCACCAGTTGCCTTTGATCACCAAAGTGACTCCCGCAGCTGGTGGGAGGGTGGGTCTCGGCCCAGCCTCAGACTCTAGGTTGGCTGGAGCCTGTGCCCCACAGCCACGTGTCAGCCTGGCGGGTAGGGGTGGTTGTGAAAGGGACGGCATAGACAAGACCCTGGCAGGATTGCAACATCCCTCTGGCCGGTTCAGAGCTTCCAGTCCCTGTCAGCCCCATGGGGCCCCTTTACTTCCCCTAACTGAGCCTAACATTCCCTAAACATCTACCTGATGTCTGCTTCCCCTGGACTCCCACAAGAATAGAAAACAGTGTTCTTGCTTTTTCCAACTCTCATCCTCCCTCTGCTATAGGAGTTTTTGCTAGATAGATGGGGAAACTGTCACCCAACCAAGAATCATCCAGTAGGGTTCGGTGAGGGCAAAGGGGCTACTGACTGGGCGCAATGCTCACCTGTAATCCCACCACTTTGGGAAGCTGAGGCGGAGATCTGCTTGAGCCCAGGAGTTTGTGACCAGCCTGGGCAACATAATAAGACCTCATCTCTAGAAAAATAAAAATTTGGTCAGGCGTGGTATCCCACGCCTGTGATCCCAGCACTTTGGGAGGCCTAGGCGGGTGGATCATTTGAGGTCAGGAGTTCGAGACCAGCCTGACCAACTGGTGAAACCCTGTCCCTGTTAAAAATAGAAAAAATTAGTCAGGTGTGGTGGCACAGGCCTGTTATCCCAGCTACTTGGGAGGCTGAGGCGCAAGAATCGCTTGAAATGGGGAGGCAGAGGTTGCAGTGAGCCGAGATGGTGCCAGTGCACTCCAGCCTGATGACAGCCAGGAAAAAAAAAAAAATCTCGGCCGGGCTGCAGTGGCTCACGCCTGTAATCCTAGTGCTTTGGGAGGCTGAGGCTGACCAACATGGAAAACCCGGCCTTTGCTAAATATACAAAATGCGCCAGGTGTGGTGGCACATGCTTGTAATCCCAGCTACTTGGGAGGCTGAGGCAGGTAGAGGTTGTGGTGGAGAGCGAGATTGTGCCACTGCACTCCAGCCTGGGCAACAAGAGCGAAACTCCGTCTCAAAAACAAAATAAGCGGGCGCAGTGGCTTATACTGTATCCACCACTTGGGACGAGGCAGATCACTTGAAGCTCAGGAGATTGAGACCATCCTGGTTAATGTGAAACTCCGTCTACTGTAAAAATACAAAAAAATTGCTGGGCATGGTGGCGCCAGTCCTGGTGCCACTGCTGAGGCATGAGAATGGTGTGAACCCGAGGTGGATCTTAGAATGAGCTGAGATCATGCCACAAGACTTCCAGCCTGGCGACAGAGCGAGACTCTGTCTCAAAACAAAACAAAACAAAAAACTTACTTATTTGCCACAAAACGCTTATCAGGTGAGCATCTTTATCATTTCCATTGTACAGATGGGGAAACAGGTCATGGGGCGAGCTACTGCATTTCCCTACCAGCAAGTGTTTCTTTTTTTTTTTTTTTTTTTTTTGAGACAGAGTCTGCCTCTGTCGCCCAGGCTGGAGTGCAGTGGCCGGATCTCAGCTCACTGCAAGCTCCCGGGTTTACGCCATTTTCCTGCCTCAGCCTCCCGAGTAGCTGGGACTACAGGCGCCCACCACCTCGCCCGGCTAGTTTTTTGTATTTTTAGTAGAGATGGGGTTTCACTGGGTTAGCCAGGATCGTCTCGATCTCCTGACCTTGTGATCCGCCCATCTCGGCTTCCCAAAGTGCTGGGATTACAGGCTTGAGCCACCGTGCCCGGCCTAAGCAAGTGGTTTTGAACCCAGACCCTCTCACACTACCTAAACCACACCAGGACAACCTCTGCCCTCTCCACCAAAATCCAAGAGGCCAAGTGGATGCTGGAGGTGGCGTGGCCCAGGGAAGTCTCTGACTTGCCCCAGCAACAAGGTCAGCATGCAGGGAGGGCTGTGTGTTTGCTGTTTGCTGCTTGCAATGTTTGCCCATTTTAGGATGGGAACAGGCTGCCAGGTTGTTCAGGCTGGACTTCAGAGGCAGCACACAAACAGCTGCTGGATGATGGGAACTGAGGGGTTGGAAGGCAGGTGAGCCCAGAAACTCCTGTGTGCCTCTTTGAGCCTGCAGCTCTGTTCTCTAAGTCACCAAACCCCAAACCACTCTCTATCTCTTTCTCCATCCTTGGGTCCTGGCCCTGGTCTGAATCCCCATTCCTCATCCCCCAAATCCCTGCACCCTCCTGCTAATCTTCTGGTGTCACTAGCCACTCCTCCTGGCTGGATACTCTGGGTGATGGTAGGGCTAGTAAAAAGAGTTTGAAATGTCCCTCCTAATGCATGTTGAAAAATTGAATTATAATTCACATTCCATAAAATTTATCCTTTTATTTATTTATATTTTTTTGAGATGGAGTCTCACTCTGTTGCCCAGGCTGGAGTGCAGTGGGGGAATCTAGGCTCACTGTAGCCTCCACCCCACAGGTTCAAGAAATTCTCGTGCCTCAGCCTCCCAAGTAGCTGAGACTCCAGGCAACTGCCACCACGCCTGGCTAATTTCTTAATTAATTTTTTTTTTTTTTTTTTGAGATGGAGTTTCGCTCTTGTTGCCCAGGCTGGAGTACCATGGTGTGATCTCGACTCACTGCAACCTCTGCCTCCTGGGTTCAAGCAATTCTCCCGCTCAGCTTCGAGTAGCTGGGATTACAGGTGTGTGCCACCATGCCCGTATAATTTTTTGTATTTTTAATAGAGATGGGGTTTCTCCATGTTGGTCAGGCTGGTCTCAAACTCCTAGCCTCAGGTGATCTCCCCAATTCAGCCTCCAAAAGTGCTGGGGTTACAGACATGAGCCACCGTGTCCGCTACATTTACCCTTGAAATGTACAGTTCAATGGTTTTTCCTATATTGGAAAGGTTGCACAGTCATCACCAGTATCTAATTCAGAACATGGCTCACTGCAGCCTCAACCTCCTGATTCAAAGCCATCCTCCTACTCCTTCAGCCTCTGCATGGCTGGGAACCTCAAGGTGTCTACCACCATGCCCAGCAAATTTTTTTTTTTCTTTTTTTTTTTTTTAAGGACGGATGGGGTCTTGCTATTGCCCAGGCTGGTCTTGAACTCCTGAGCTGAAGCAATCCTCCCACCTTGGCCTCTCAAAGTGCTAGGATTACAGGCGTGTGCCACCACATCTGGCATGATGATTTTGGAAGAGAACTGAGGAAGTGAGGAGGAGCTGAGGCAGGCTTGAACCTGGGAGTGCAGAGGCTGCAGGGCTGAGATGAGCCACTGCACTCCAGCCTGGCAACAGAGTGAGATCAGTCTCAAAAACAAAAATCTGACTTGAGTTCTAACAGGCTGCTGAGAGAGAAGAGAGGAGAGTATAGGAGTTTGGAGAGTTGATTTTGGGGGAGAAGGGGATGCATTAACCCCAGAGAGTAATATTTATACATTTATTTATTATCTTTCTTCTCTTTTTGGTAGAGACGGTGTCTCACCATGTTACCCAGGCTGGTCTTCGAACTCCTGGCCTCAAGTGATCCTCCCACCTCAGTTTTTCCCAAAGCGCTGGGATTACAGGCATAAGCCACCATGCCCAGCTTCAGGATTTCTTTTATGTTTTGAGATGGAGTCTTGTTGATGTCCAGGCTGGGCGGCAGTGGCATGATCTCTGCTTACTGCAGCCTCCACCTCCTGTGTTCTTACTCCTCATGCCTCAGCCTACCGAGTAGCTGGGATTACAGGCGCCGGCCACTAAACCTTGCTAATTTTTGTATTTTTAGCAGAGACGGGGTTTCACCATGTTGGCCAGAATGGTCTCCAACTCCTGGCCTCGAGTGATCTCCCGCTGGGATCCCAAAGTGCTGGGATTACAGGTGTGAGCCACCGAGCCTGCCTTCAGGAGTTCCTTTTTTTTTTTTTTTTTTTTTTTTGAGTTGGAGTTTTCCTGTTGTTGCCCAGGCTGGAGTGCAACAGTGCAATCTCCACTCACTGCAACCTCTGCCTCCTGGGTTCAAGTGATTCTCTACCCTCAGCCTCCTATAGCTGGGTTTACAGGCACCCGCCACCACGCCTGGCTAATTTTTTTTTTTTTTTTTTTGTACTTTTAGTAGAG